AATTTACTTTCCCCAACATTGTAGTAAATATAAGATATTCATTTGGTTGTGTACACACTTGTGCTAGGTATTTCCTATCCGTAGAATCTCTTCGTTTTACAGCCTACAGATAAAACGACTTGTCGTATAACGAGTGCTTTTTCAATCTACTTTCTGCAACTAGCTAAAGTGTTGCTCTTGAACACCTCAGATATATCATACACGTATATGTTGGGCCTAATGGTATGTAAATAACGTTCAAATTGAATGGTGAAGGATTTTCAGGTTGCCTAAAACTGGGTTATAATTCAAGTCTCGGTACGGGCCAGCCAAAAGTTAGTATCACCCGCGTCATTAGCGCTGTACACTCAATGACTCGTATTTTAATGAAATCATAATCATAGACACTCTTACTTTGATGTATTTAACAGCTGATTATAGACAGATTCTATACTGAATTGTAACGATGAACACATCAGGTAGTAAAAGAATTAAATCCTTCGTCTTAAAACAAAATTTTGAACATGATGGATAAACACTACCATGAATCATCATGTGCGTCTTCAAGTTTAGTTGCAATGTGAATCTGATTTTCCTGTTCGTGATAAAAAGGGGGAGGGCTTGACTGCTGAGCTTACAAAATCTATAAAAGGGCACGTCGGTGGACACAGGCTAGTGAGGTTCGGAACAAATGTAAAGTTAGTACACGGTCCTTCTGAGATCGTACTCGTATTGAAATACTTTCTTCAATGATAAATTCCAAGTTGAGGGATCCCTCTCAATACGGTAGGATATTTGATTATCCCTTGGTCACCAATGAGAGCCTAATAAAGCTCACAACATATTATTTTACTACGCCTGGGTTTACTACGCTTATATTGGCTTCTCATTGGCGACCTCTAGTAATATCAAGATTTCTTCTTTCTCAACATATTTGAGAAGCATAATATTTAAAATTCAAGAGCTGTCAGCTGACCATTTAATATTAGATTATTGGTGGCGCTGATGACAGGATTCTTTTCAAAAGTCTACGTCCCGAAATCCAACAAGCAGGCAGCAGCTGAGCAGCGGCAAATGATAAATTTATTTTTTTACAAAAGCGGCGCAGCGCTGCAGACGATCTAAAATTTGATGACGTCAAACCACAAATAGATTCTAATTTATTTTAATTGGCTCATATCAAAAATCAAACTGCATCGTTAAAATTCGCTATGTTATCAACTTATCATTGTCGTCATAATGGGTTTAGTTATCATTGTAATGTTATTATTTGTCCCTGTCATATTGGGAGCCGGCGAGCTTGTGATATACAGATTACAAGGTTGATCCCTTAATGGCGTTGTAGTTTCAAGTAAGAGTGAGCAGACATAGAGAGAGCAGGGTACTGACTTAGAAGTAGGCTGGCCCTAGTCATGCGTTCGCGCAGTCCTCGACCGGGTGGGGCACCCACGGACCTTTCACATGACGAGATCCAACAGCTGTTCCAAACCTTCGATACCGATGGTGACCATAAAGTCACTCCCGACGAACTGCAGGTATTCTTTAAGAATATTCTGCGCAGTAGACGTAGATATACTTAGATGCATTTGAAAGTATGATTGTATTGCGGTGTGCGGGTTCAAAAACTGGGTATTTAGGACATGAATCCATTGGGTCGCAACTTGGTATATCACTGTAAAACATAGCACTATGTGCATTTTACCTTGTCAAAAAAGTACAGGAAATGAATCTCTCTCGATGTACACTTATATGCATTTGAACGAACGTTTTTGCATTCGCAAGTGCCAACCACATTGACCTATTCATTTGATTCTTTTCAGCCTGAGGGCGATTTCGTATGTAGAACGTATAGATGGGGTTTGTAGGTTGTAAAACGTGTGCTTATTATAACTATGTTTTAGTGGAACCAGCGAAATATTCAAAATTCAGTTTGGCATGGTTTGGTACTGTTTGGCACTGTTTGGCATGGTCATTGCTGTGGAAGAGTGGTGATTTTCTAACTCTTGATGTATACTGCTCTGATGATGTTCCGGTCGTTCTCACACAACAGATTGGTCTATTCCGCCTCGGACATTCCACTGTGCCCGGCTTTGTACACCATATATTCGAGCAGGCTGATACTGACGGCGACGGCGGCATAGGTGTGTGCTAACTCGTGGGTAATATAATCTCTACTAGAAAGTGATGCACTGTTTATAAACTCTCTTGTTGATATTTTTAGTTGTGGGACAAATTTGCGTTGATTCCAAAATTGAATATTCCGTGTTGCAATGTAGCAGACCAGCTTTGTTAGCAAAAATCCCGAGTCTATCAAACTACTTCGTTGCTTGAATATGCAACGGCACACAGGACACTCTCTACGTTGAACGCGAATATCAAGCATTGTATTAATACCCGTTTCATGCCTTGTCATGTTTGTCCTGAACTCATGAATTTACATTATATCCTAAAATCCAGACATTCACGAGTTTAAAATTTTTTGGGAACATCATAATGCGCAACTAAAAAGAATCTTTGACATGGCCGATGTTGCAAGCACTGGAGAGATAACGACTGTCGATCTCGAGAGGGTGTGTGATGCCTTGACTCGCTATGTGTTCTGTTCAAAAGTTCTGCTTGTATGTCCAATGACTATTAATCTGGTTGAATTCGGGAGCGTAACAAGGAAGCAGCTATCTACAAATGCATGACTACAGGAAAATACATGGATGAATAAATGTGTATATATTTCTTTTTATGCGTATACACACACACACACACACATATAT